GCTTATAGGGCAGCCTAATAGATTAAAAGTCTCTGATAGCCAACCACTGAGTATTTTAACAGGATTTTTCATCTACTAACATACAGAAATGACTTATGAAGTCAAAATCCCCCACAATCCCAGCAGGTGCAAAGAGGCCATAACCAAGCTCATACCTGTACTCGGGGTCACTGTCATAGGCAGAGTCCCTGTACAAAAGGCCTCTTTTCAGTTCCAGTTCCTCTTCTTTCTCTGGGTCTCGCTCATCCTTAAAAATTTAAAGGTTTTCATTTATTCTTTTTCTTATTGCCTCAAAAATGACACTAGCCTTTCTATAGGAAATGCTCACCCCTGTAACCCACTTAAAAGAAGTTTCATTAAATGCTAGGATTTTTGAGGTAAAACCCAAAGAGGAATTGTGGGCTTATTATCGGTAAATAAAGATGAATGTACCTGCTGCTCACTTAACATGGCTAATTTCCAAGCTTGTTAAGTAAAAATGGGGCCATTCCCCAGTAGACCTTCCCTCCTGCAGCTGGAAGTGACGGTGGCGGCGAGGGGCTGTCTTTGCCTCTAGGGAAGCGGGGACACAGCATCCCATGGACACACTCTAGGCCTCCCCTTGCTTTGCCATGCCATTTTACCGCTCGATCAGCCCCGGGGACTGGACTTGGTGGTGGCTGGCTCCTCTGCTTGAGAGAAGAGGCGCAGCTACCTGGCTGGGCAAAGTGGCCAAGAGGTCTCTTTGGAAGATGCCACTTCCAAATGTATTGCCCAATTCCAAAGTCCCTGGTTCCCACCAACTTGTAGCCTAGCCAACCCCACCTACTAAGTACCACCCTCCCACTCATGCCCCTTCCACCCAATCCTAATTTTAAAAAACTACCAATAGCCTTCACAACCTTGCTCCCTTTCACAAAATCCAAGTTTCTCTTCCTCTTCACCTTGGCTTATTATTAATGCACTATATTTTTTCCATTTTCATAAATGTGAAATGCCAGGTAACAAGTTGTCCATAATGAGGAATAGGAATATTAGCTTTACTCATAACTTTTGCTATTAGGGCTTATCAAAGATTAGGCAGCCAGTAGCTGTTTCTCGAATCAATAAATGAGAATATAATCCTGTTTAAGATAAGTCAGTTGGCAATATCTCACACATCATTACATAAACTTCAAAAGATTACACTTGCATGCTGAAACATATTTAGAAAAACTGTATAGCCTCCAGCATTCTAACACAGCTATGACTAGTAAGCCATAGGAAGTAACTTGGCATTATTAATCATAAAGCAAAATATACTGTCACAAGAGGAAAAATGAAAGGCAAGGTAGTTAGAATTACAATGGATATTTCTGCTTCTACAGGCATTTAATTCTTAACTTCTGAATTAATATATAAGAAATGACTATGAATGGAGATAGTTTTGTAAACAATATCAGCTATATTAAATATGTTCATATGAATGATAATTTTATATACTTTAATCTCTTTCAAATACTAGCCAATACTCATGTTCCTAAGCCAAACAAGAACAGGATTAAAGCGAGTTGATTACAAAGGAACTAGTAAATGCAAATGGATTTCTATATGGGTCATTATTAATAATGGATTTATTCACAGAATATAAGAAATCATCTGAACAAAGATTATGGAGAAAAATTATTTTAAAATTTTGCTGACAGCATGAAGCTGGGAAGAGAGCATTCAGTTAAGAAATGTGAACAATTAATAATACAGCACAAGTTTAAAATTCACTGAAAATGTACAAATTTAGTAGTGTTAGAGCTTCTGGGTGAACAACATATTAATGATAAAGTGCTTACTTCTATTCATGCTTTTATATTTTAACATCTACCCACTGCTAATATAGCTAGAGCGGCTTTTTTTACTTGGTGCTTAGATGGTATGTTTTCCCACTATTTTCAGGTTTTTATTATTATTTAGGTTTTAGATCAGCGGTTCTCAACCTCTTCTGCGAAGACCTAGATATAATGTGCTTATTTTGACAGTTTATCCTTAGGAAAAGTCATAAAATCCTAGATTATATAGTATGTAACATCAGATGTAAACAAACATTTTCTGTGTAATTTTGTCACCAACAGTTTTGAAAATTAAGTTTTGATCAGAATAACAGGATTAAGTTAAAGGTTTGTTTAGGGATGTAATATATATAAGCATGTTGATTAAAATATAAACCCCAATTGCAAATTAGGAAACTATCTCATAAAGTTATTGTTGGGCACTTACTATCCTAGCCTTTGAGAATG